TAGTAGTAGTAGTGTATATATATATTAGTTATAGTATATATAATACTATATATATATATATATATATATATATATACACACACACACACACACACACTACTATATATATATATATATATATATATATATATATATATATATATATATATATATAATTGAGTCAATACTATGTATTTACATAGACTTTTGTAGCAGTATCCAGCAAGTTGACAACGTATAGTACACAGAGTGGAGATTAGTACTCAAGCCATAATACAGACTACACTTTCAGCCCTCGTACATTTTACGAACTGCGGCATCTTCACACGCTACGTATATTTCAATTCAGAAAATACAAAAGCTCTGAGATTGCAATTGTAAGCGAACTTTCAGGGAAGAACAAGGTTTTGTTTCTTCCACTAGCCCTATTTCTATATCAGCAAGTACACGGCGTTCATTATATTCGATATATTCAAAAAAAAGGCATTGTCAAAACTGAAGAATTGTTGTATATCATATACGTTCTAACTTTATTGGTGTGTTGTTGACATGATATAATTGACGCGGTGTGTGCCCGAACGTGGAAGGGGCCATCGGAAATCACACTCGAGTACAACTGTTACCAGTCTCAATTTACTATCGTCTGGATCAGAGACAGCAGACTAAAGACAATATTTGAACATTGTTCCATTTACGGAGATGTGGAGAAATTATCATCGGCGCAAAACGCATTATATCGGACGTATCGTTTTATAGGACATCCTCCAGACCGCCTTTGGCCATCCAGAACACCATAGTGTCTAAAGGATTAACGGCTTTTGTTGATTCCGATGAGATGTTTCGACGTTGAGTCGTTGGCGATCGGACTGGCACCTTATTCACTTGTACATCGCGATTGTCGGGATTGAAGAAGAACATCGATTCCGCGGCTGAGCTTAGTTGAACCATCTTATTAGAATTTTTCAATTTGTACCTTAATTGTGATTTGAAAATGAACTATGCGATGTTCATGTTATATAGCTAGCAGGCGGTCGAATTTAAATTTGGCACTGTTCACATACACTGACGCCTTTAGTATGTTATACGCTCCCCGGCACTTGGTGTACAATATAATTAGTTACACGCATACAACTTTGCGCCTTGCTGTCATGCGTTGGCGACGACTGCACCACATTTCTGACTACAAGTGTACAGCCTCACAATAGCCAATCTTTCTCTCAGAGGTCAAGAGCGAACATTCCGAAATGGATTGAGAGCCAGAGGCCCTGGGCCTAGTAGAGGGCCTGAGGCGTGACTCCTGACTCCTGAGCCCCTGACTGTAGCTAAGTACTGCACTCAGCGCACAGAGTGCCCTCGCGCGGAGTCACGTATAGTGTAAACAGTATATGTATACATACTACTATGAGATTCCGGATTCGTGATTCCTGCGTCGAAGATCATTCTTGTGACATTCTCTGTTCTCTACATAAGTAGTCTCTAAAAGCTGTATGAGTGTGAACTGCTCAGTGCTCAGTGCTCAGTGCTCAGTGCTCAGAGCTGGTTCCCGGTCCATCCCGGATCACCGGACTCGGAGCCTGCCACTCTGCCAGTCTGGAGTCTTGTCTGGACTCTGGAGTCTGGAGTTCTGGGACTGCCGAACGGCGAATTGGTGGTGCGCTGGTGGCGGGCTGGCTGTTCTCTAGTGTTCTTACAAACTGCTGTATGAGTTTTACTTTTTACCAAAAAACAATTGGGGGGAGCCGAATCCAAGCATATTTTCTTGTATTTGCCTTATTTGGAAACTATAAAAGTTTTAAAACATACTCCGAAGATGCTCCTGGCCCGCAGACTCTCGGTAGTACATAGTAAATAGTACATACATACATACAGTACTGATAAGTGATAACTGACCACGTTGGCAATGATTGAATTGGGCCGCTGGGTGCTGGGACTAGTGTTCTTTTCAGTTTTCACTTCCCAAGACCAGTTTCTAAATTTCTATCAACAGCAGTACGGACCATGGTATGTATAAAAGCCAGCATGCTAATTATTCCAATATCATACACAATTACTACATAATACATACAAACAGATAGCACTTTATCTCGATACTAACAAAACTACAAAATATGGTCCAGATCAGCGCCACCGCAGAATCCATATTCTTCTTCAATCCCGAGGTCAGCAACAATACTGATGTTAGGAGGCAAGTACCAGTTCTATCGCCCACGATACAGCGAAAGAATATCCAAACGCCTGTGAACCCGATATCAGCAGACGATACCATGGTATACTGGATGGCAAAGGGTGGGTTGCAAGATATCATCTAAAAGAATATCTACATTTTTGCCATAAAATATGTACTAATTAGCAGATAGAAGGAGGTCTGTCACCCCCGACAATTTAGTAAATTACTGATCCACTTTCTATTTACCATGAGCGATTTGGTCTCTGCTCGCTCACATCATTGTCTGAATATATTGATAAGGGGTTTTTTCACAACATTACAGGAACTAGTACCCGACTGAACAAAACAAGAAGTTGTCTATGAACCGCATTTGCTTCATTGTTTGTTTACCATACATGATGACATGAAATCAATGCAATTCTAATAAACTAATGGTTAAACTACCATGTACTATTTGGTCGCTGCTTGCTCGCACCATTGTCTAGACATATTGATATGTTTTTTTCATATCATTACAGGATCTGGTGCCCGACTGAACAAAATAAGTCACATATGGACCGTATTTGCTCTTTTGTTTGTTTACCATGAATGATGACATACAATCAATGTAATTCAATAAACTAGTATTGAGTCGCTGTGAAAAAAAAAGGTGCATACACATCTATAAATGTAGGCATGATAGACCGTATTCTATTGCAGGTGTTTATATGCGTTTATCATTTAGATAGCGTGCTGACTCATTGATATTTGTATCGGTATGTACATACGTGGAGAATATTCATGGACATGAAGAACTAAAATTTTTAGATATAAAACTGCTCTTCATGCGTGCAGTAACTTCCTACCGCTCAAGAATGTAACAATGCATACAATTTTTCTAGAACACTTGTACATGTCGGTGCAGCATTTCAGATGGTACTACATTACTGGAAATGTCAGAAAACAAACTTCGAGGTACAATGTGTTACACGAGTTGAGTTGGACTTCGTGATATATATAGTGGATCATTATTGTCTAATATCTAAGTACATTCTTGCGTGATGTCGACCAAATCCTACTCGTTCGCAGATATGCTTGATGTGACTGAAACATACGCAGCGTTCTTATCATTCAGGTATGGAAGGGAAGAATGATCAGCTTTAAATAGACAGCATTGTCAGGATTAAAGCTCGTTCTGTTATTATATCGGCTGTGTATTTATTTGTGATAGTTTCTAGGAATATGTTACGATTTGACGCGGTGTGTTCCCGAGCGTAGAAGGGACTATCGAAATTGGCACTCGAGTGGAGCTGTTCTTAGTCTTTATTTACTACTCATCTGCATCAGTTGTAGCACATTAATATGATTAGTTGAACTTAGTTCAATTTACGGAGACAATGTGTGAAAGTTATCGTCGGCGCAGAACGTATTACATCGAACGTACTGGTTTATAGGACATCCTCCAGACCGCCTTTGGCCATCCAGAACACCATAGTGTCTGAAGGATTAACGGCTTTTGTAGATTCCGACGAGATGCTTCGACGTTGAGTCGTTGGCGATCGGACTGGCACCTTATTCACTTGTACATCGCGATTGTCGGGATTGAAGTAGAAAATCGATTCTGCGGCTGAGCTTATTTGAACCATCTTCGTCGGAAGATTTTACTTTTTACTGTATAATTTGTTGGTTTGTACTTTGAAAATGAAACATCCGATACTCATAGTTATATACTCAGCAGGGAGTCGAATCTAGGTCTTACACTGTTCACACACACACCGACGCCCCTACTAGTATGTTATACGCGCCCCGAGGGCCCGATATTTGTGTACAGTAATTTTCGATTTGCATACAACTTTGCAGCTGCGGTCGGGCGCCGTGCGGTGGCAACTGCTCTGCACAGGGCAACCTCGCAATGGCCAATCAGCAACTAACCCTCCAGAGGACAAGAGCGATCAACGAACATTCTGAAATGAACCGACCTCAGTCAGCCTCACACGTGGAGCAAGATTTATTCTTGCATCGAAGATTTTAGATCATTCTGCAATCTAGTGTCGAGTTGTCGACTTGTCGACTGCTGCAGAGCTGAAAGCTGAGTGCTGTCAGCTGTACTTACTACTGAGACCTGAGTGCTTACAATTTACATAGTGCTGCTTGCTGAGCGCCGTGCTCCCGGTTCAGTCTCACTGCTCAATGCTCATACAGAGTCTGCTGACTGGCGACTGCTCACTAGAGCTAAGCTCAAGACGCTATAAGGTATATCGGGGGGAAATCGACCTTGAAACCCCTGAGAAATTGACCTTTTATTTAATGAAAAGGCGATTTGAAACTATTCACAACTGACACGAAGTGAAAAATAGGACAATTCGTGACAGTTAGTCCGCCTCAAAGAACCTATTTGTAAACCCAGGTTTAGGATAAACTTTTAACGTAAACGCTTATTATTTTCTGATAGGTCTGCACTTCCTGACAGCTCCAGTGCTTAAGTGCGTGTGTACATATGTACTATGTAGACCCAATGCCAATGGGGATGGAGGAATTTGATGAAAAACAATTCGAGCATACATACATAGCTACATATAAATAGAATAACTGTCAGCTAGATACAGATAATGAAGTGAGGTACAATATAAATTATACAATTGCTCTCGACTTACTCTGAGAATGCTTGAGTAGATTTTGTTTTCAAATTTAAAAATAAAATGAATAGATTGTACTGTCAGAGTCCCTAACCTGAAACCTCATTCAGTTTCCCGTTTTAACTTTTTCAAAATGAATCAGTAAATGTTTCCCTTCAACTTTTATACTGTATATAGCCCTATGAAATTTCAAGGGGTGCAATTTCCAGGCCATCAATTTGTCTTAAACCCGGCGGGCTCGCCTGTCAGTCGGTTCACTGTTCGGTATACTAGATATTCATTCGTCGCCTTTTGACATGTAGTCCATTTCATTAGAATTTAGATTTACATATTGAGTGCAAATTTGAGAATTTCGTTTTCTATTTTGACCTGTGAAAACTTTTTATTTAACGGTTTCAAAACGAATCAGTAAACATTTACGTTAAACTTTTATTCTGTATATCATTAACGGATTGAGCTTAGTGTCAGACTCCACTGCTCCAGAGTCCAGACTCTAGAGTCCAGACTCCAGGCTCCAGAGTGCAGAGTCCAGAAACACCAAGACAAAGAAAGACCCCTATGTACACCAGAAGGCAGTAGGCAGAATGACCAGATAAAATATATTTGTTTTCAGTTTTACATCTGTATGTAACTTCAAAAAAAAGAACCGGGATGTCCTTCAGTCATGACTCAAAACTGAAAACTGGCAATAACTTCGACCAAAAAAAATACCACTCGTATAAAACCCACCATATTGATGATTGCAATGCCAAACACAACTACTAAAAACATATACATATACGGTCAAAGTATATCTCAATAACGAAAATTAAAAACATGGTCTAGATCAGCGCCACCGCAGAATCCATGTTCTTCTTCAATCCCGAGGTCAGCAACAATACTGATGCTAGGAGGCAAGTACCAGTTCAATCGCCCACGATACAGCGAAAGAATATCCAAACGTTTGTGAACCCGATATCAGCAGACAATACCATGGTACACTGGATGGCAAAGGGTGGGTTGCAAGATATCATTTAAAAGAATATTTACATGTTTGCCCTAAAATATGTACTAACTAGCAGATACAAGGAGGTCTGTCATCCCCAACAATAAAAAAAAATACTGATCCACACGACTATCATGTACGATTTGGTAGCTGATTGCACGGTCTTTATTTATCGTCATGGTTTTATCATAGCACAGTATGATCATTATAGAAGCATGATCACAGCTATACACAAGTAACGGTATTGTAACGTCCTTCAATATAACATATCAGGCGCTATTTTAGCATAGTTATAATGGATATCTATTCCTAGAAACACACTACTTGACAACAATACGTGACAACATAACATGCACACGGGTGATATTCCATAAGTTAAAGCACATCAGGCGATGGCTTAGCGTGTATATTCCAGGACTATTTATTTTATCTTGGGACGTATTCGGATGTTGGTAAAACAATTTTCTTTTAAAAATAAGTGATATGATATCAGGAGCAGTTAGTTGCATTCTGTAGCTCTAGTTAAGGATATAGATATTATAGGTGAAACAGAGAGGCAAATATAGTTATATATAGTGCGAGTAAAGTGATTCTATCAGAGGTAGATGTGAGACAGACGTGCTGACCATGAGCCTGCATGAGACATGACCCAACTACTGCACATAAACATACGTAGCAGCGTGCACATATATTTAGTAAGTCACGGTTTTCGTGATTCCGTCTGCCGTATTTAGAATAAAAGGACCTTGTTTGATTGGTGCAAATGAAGTGACTTGCTGTGTCACTGTCAGTGACCATGTAAACCGTATATTTACAACCATGTACATATACGTTATATTTACAACTATGTACATATATGTACATATATAGGTTAAGGGCTATTGTTTTTGTTTTGTAAAAAACAGAAAAAAGCCCACAAATGCAAAAATCTTTACTGGAATACATAAACATCTTCGGAGTAAAGTATTCGTTGTTGAATAGTATGTGCAAATATGTATCCCTATATAGTACCTCTGATAGTACCTCTGGTGCTTAATTAAATATACGCTATCGCTACTAAATATTTACACATCTATTGCTTTTATGCACAGCACGGAAAATATAATAACAATTGGTATCGACTGGTAGAACTTAGCTATCATATCATATCATATCATATCATATCATATCATCGTATCGTACGTCATATTGTATCATACAATTTTATCTCATCAGCAACGCAACATGATATTAAATCGGGTATCTAATGGCATATACCTGAGGTATAGGCAGCAAAGTCGACTATCATTCTATGCTGCATCACTGTCAAGGGCTCGCTATAGCAGCACACTCCAACGTAATGCCAACACTGCAGACCCACAACCGTAAGTTTCTGCGAGCGTGTGTAGGTGTTCATTTAATTCCTAGTGGTTAGCAAATCATTCAATATATTCATCTTAAGGGCTATTGTATTGTATTAGGGTGTTTTCTTTTCTGTATTAAATAGTGGTATACACGCTCATGCGCACCTATATCTATCACTTTAAAAAATCACACTACGTTTATGGACATTACACAGAGTGGGGTTAAAACTACCGTCCATTACGCTGACCCTTCTGGTATGATTCAGAATCGTGCTGATGATCGTGACTGCAATATAGCATACCCTCGCAAAGACTTGTATTGTGCAATATCGCAGATGTGCTCTAGTGGTTCAGAGGGTCAATGGTACGTCACACAAACGCTGTCTCCGGTACAACGTGTATATCCACTTTCGAGTTTTTTCTGTAGTTAGCAAGCAATCTTACACTCTACAACCGGTGTAAGCAAGTTTGCAACATCGTGTAAGCAAGTTTGAAACAAGCGAACTTACATATTCAAACAACAAATCATCACTAGTGTATATGCACATAACCATACACATTAATAGTCTTGATTTACAAACCAATGTGCCAGACATATGGTTTTTAGTGGTGATTTCTTGCTCAGAAGTGATTTATTTAGCACAAGCTTGCATGCTTGTGTACATATAAAGCTATATATATATTACTTGTATATATTCTCGTAAAAAAATTACTAATACATTTATAACGCACACACACATACACATATACACACATACACATACATACACACACACACACTCGTGTACACACACACACACACAAACACACGTGTACACACACACACACACACACACACACATATATATATATATATATGTACATACACACGTGTACACACACACACACACACACACACACACA